ATACCCCATCCTTTTCAGACAACGCCATAAAGCAGGCCGATCGACTGAGTGGAACACGGCTCGAATGTCCAAAAAAACAACAGTGTTAGGCTGACGGTAAAGATGATACTGTTCTTGGAGTTGGCGGAGCGTAAACATCCTGTCTACGCTTCCTCGACCGGTCCTGAAACCAGCCTGTTCTTCACGGTAATGTAGTTCTCGAATTTGTTAGCCTGCGGAGTAGGAAGGTTGTTAACACTTTGGTGGCTACATATATTAAGCTGCTCCCATTCTGGTTCGCGCATAAGGCGCAAGCATTTTTTTGAAGAACGGTTCGAGAATCGACTCGCCCCAAGAAGATGGAACCTTTTCTTCACACCAAATCGTGGGGAACAGAGCTGTTAACTAGTTGACAGATGCCTCGCTACCATACTTGAACAGCTCCTGAGGAAATCCGTCTCAGTTAGCTGCACCGAGTCATTTCAATTGACGGAGCTCAAGGCGGACCTCCACTTCGGTGGGTGGTTCCAATGCAACGTTCTAAGGTGCGCAATTAAGTATGCTTTTTAGACAGGCGGAAAGAGGTCAACTGAATTGGGATTGGAACTGCTCAGCCCAGTAGTCCATGCGCCTACGTAAAATGGTGATTGGTGATCCATAAACCTCACAAATAGCTTCACCGACGTCGTGTCTTCTGTGGCCAGAGGTCCGAATGATCTGGAAAAGCTTGCGTAAGTTTCCAGAAATAGCTGCCAAGATTTCTGATGATTACACAGGCTTTGTTTGAGTTGTTGGCTAAGGCTGCGGCGGATTTCATTGTTGCTTGGATCAGCCAGGATTGATTGACAGCAGCCAATTCCGGAGAGCGAGCACATATCCAGCCTCTCAGTAGGCTCCCATTGCTTTCACAGAAGGAGGAAAGCACCGCTTTTTGCAATAAACCCCAGTGATCGATATCTGGAGCTGAAACACTAGCGAATACATATGGTGCGGAAAATTTATCAATCAGTTGTATGGAGGGGTTCGATAGTTTTTTGCTACCCAGTTTATGGGTCTTTGGTTTCAGGGAACCTCCAAAGCGCATGCAGATGTCCGTACAGACCAAATGAGTCATCTGAGTCGAAGTTGTTTGACCAAATCGATTTGCAGTCCCGTACACTGTCAAGCCATCTAACGCACAATGCAGTGTGATCCATTATTTTTACCACGGTTGTGTTAACCAAAGCGGTGTGTGGTGGTGGCGCGTCTCCTCGATTGCTTAAAGTTCGCGCTCGAAAGAAAGAGTCCATGGTCTTCACATAACGTGAGAAATCGTTCTCGTTGTAAGAGGGACTCTCATCAGAGGTCTGAATATTATTGTAAAGTTCGAAAGAACTTTGATTTCTTTTACCATATATATTATTTCCCTTCCGAGCTAATAACACACTTTTTGTGCTTTAGACCATTACATGCTCAAACGAGTCTTGTTTTACATTTATTTTAATTGCATGCACTTTTCTCCAGGTCACACTTACACCAGTCTACTTTTAACATCACTGTTATCCATTTTCGCTGCCATTGTTAACCTAGTTGTGAGTTTCATCTTGTATATTATTCTGCTCTTTAGAGCCACGGTTACAGGATTATACTACGAGTTCTTCTGTATTGACCGTTTTCTGCCCCGATCGTCTAGGTTTATAGCTCGAAATAGCAATATTTATATACAATACGTGCGACGTAACTCGATTTAGGTTGTTCTGTCGTTACAGTCATCATGATGACGTTCCCATGGTAGTAGTCGGTTGACTTGTGCATTGAACTCTCCGGCAAGGATGACGACATCTGATTTTTTGGCTTTACTCAAATGCTGGTGGAGTCCGCAATAAAAATGGTTCTTAATAGACGCACATATGGGAGATGACCAAGCAGTGACTTGGTCAAGAGGAATGAAGGCTTTTAGTTCGAAGTTGGCCTCGGTTGGAGCTTCTAGGCTCCCTGGTTGGGGCTTAAAAGGCGATGAACAAGTTTGACTGCATACACTAATTGACATGGGAAAGAACCGACCTCGGTGGCGTTTGTGTTGTGGGTTTCTTCGTTTATCCCCATCCCGCTTAGCCTCTCCTCCAAGCACGATCGCAATTACTAAGCATACTGTAACTCTTTTTTGCGGCATAATAGCTGACTGATAGCTCTCTAGAACGATGTCCATCCGGTACTGGTAACTCAACCGGCATGCCTCTGTTGCATGTTTTTTCTCTTTTGTATTGTGGTGCAATAGCTGAGATGTTTCCACTTCTAGCTAACGTGTATAATAATGATGAATGGATGCACAACTGTAATCAGTTGGCGTATAGGTGGAGACTACAAATAAATTGCGTCTCTGCGATGTCTATTGATCCTGTATAGGCCTTGAACTCGAACCGCACAGTCGGCTGTCAATTGGGAACCAGTCGAGCAGCGAGGCCTCAACTTTGTCACTCAATGCGATTCCGCCACCGGCCAAGCCATCCTCAACTGCTTCTGTGTCACCAGACAGACGCAAAAGTGTTTGATCCCGATATCAGCAGCAGAGGTCAACTTAACCACATTGCTGGAGTCCTGTAATCGAGTCTCAAAATGGAAACACACACCGATAGCAAGGGACGCTAGCCTACGCGCTAGGCCAGCCTGTTATCCGATGTGCATAAAATTTCGAATGTTAAAGATTGCCAACCGGACCTCGATAGTAGATTCAAAGGGACAGCAGTTATTAACCTATCTAAGTTGCGGAGGATCGCCCTTGTTTGGTGGCAACTACAAGTGCGCCATGGTGACGTCTGACATCGCATCTTGGGCAAGATGGGTCTTTCACTCTGTGAGCTTGTTCTGGTGCCTCATTTGTGATGGGTTGGCCACGTCCTATGCATGCATGCTGCGCTTTGTTTGCGCCCTCAGGGACACTTTGTCAGAGGCCGCGTGGTGGCTAGCCGACCACCTGGCAACTAAGCGTGAAAACGATAACGTCTTGCCTAGCCACCACCGGCTCAGTACATCTACTCGGTTGGGGACCCAAGGATGAAGAATGCTAGTGGACCCAAACCCTCAATGCGATGGAAGCAGTGCACGTAAATTTGTGTGAATTTCCGGTTTCAAGAACATTGACTTTTAAAGAGGTGCAAAATGGCTTGTGATAAACGACAAAACGTGCCGATGTTCTTTGTTCCCTTCATATGTTGTACATTTTGCTCTTTTTCTTTGGTTCCGAATTCCTATGGTTTTGGATGGATCGATATCTATTCCTACAGGCTGGCTATATATATATATATATATATATATATATATATATATATATATATATATATATATATATGCGGACGACCTTACAGTACACCCAGCCCAAGCGCGACCGACTGTGGTCACATGCCAGCGAAGCGTCCTTACGATGTACTGGCATACTGCTGATGCCTCTCTGTTCTCTCAATGTATAGCAACTATGTTCTATGGTCGTCGAATGTGGTTTGGTGCAGATGTACTGGTTTCCGATAGGGGCGTATTCGTGACACTAGATTCTATCTTCTATTGTTGCGTTATTAAGCCACGGCTCTTTCCGTCAACATTAAACCTTTAAAATGAGGGTTGTTTTGTTTCCCAGCGGTTGACAGTAGTCGTGCAGTAAGCCGCTTGGAAAGTGCCACCTGTCGATACTCAGTCATTCAGCCACAATAACCATCGCAGCTTGTTGAGCCCCGATTCATACTAATAATAATGTTATTAATAATAATAACAACAATAATAACAGGCATATTCTCAACTGGGTAATGCACGGCCCAGCTAAGCTGGTCCGAGCATGGATACAAAGGAAATGCAGAATGGTTTTACAAAATTGCTGTACAACTACACTTTGTGTTCCAATTCCATTGATTCTTGCGTCATTGATTTCGTTTCCGAATTCCTCGGAATCCATGACAATTGCAAAACTTTCAGATACTTTTAGCCGGATGCTTGGAAAAAGAAAACAAAATAACAAAGTTTTAAGAGGTGACTGACAATATATACATGGAAAATGTAAGTTAAGAATTCATGATATTGGGAAATAGCAATAATTTATAAATAGTGCAAGTCTGTGAACAGACACGATAGCACGATGGACGGTAAAACTGAGAACTGCATCCATCATGAACTAACGACTTACACAAGAGGTAAGATGTGATAACACAGGGCAAGTGGAATTACGTAGATAAATTTGGTGGGTTAGTTGTGGCCATTAACAATTCACGCTTTCAGTGAGTCCATGTCTTGCAGGCACTCATGCCTTTCACCTAGCTGTGTAATAGAAAGGAAGCACTATATGAAGGCTAAGGAAAAAGCTTGCTTATCCAACCCACCAATGTGCGCATGTTTTTCAAATGCCATCAGTGGATCTTCAAGCTAAGTAAAAGCACAGTGGGAAGCTGTTTAGATGAACCAAAAATCAAAGATAAATCCCACCTATCCAACTCATCAATGTGCCCATGTTTTCATAGGTCATCAACGGGTCATCAATCTGAGTAACACGAAGAATATAACAGTATAAACTAACATAAAATCAGGGATAGATCTCATTTATTCAGCCTATGGATGTGACAATGTTTTCATAGGCCACCAGTGGGTCATCAATTTGAGTAATACCGAAGGATGTGACAAATTAGGAGGAAGGAATGCGAGACAAATCTCAGTTATCTAGCAAGAAAAATTCACGATAAGAGAACACTATTTCACGTTGTGTTGACAAGCCCTTCTCGCCATATTTATCTGTATTTTATATTGCCCATTTCACAAGTACTTAGATGTTATCAGGCCCGCTCCTACACCCATTCGTCTGTGCAACTGACACTGTGTAATCAATACAGCGTCAACTGTATATCTCTGAAGGAGCGAATTTCCAACTTATTGTCAGATAATCTCGCTTTCACATCACACTACTTATCACCATTCTGCTCGATGCTCGGTTTGTGCCACTTTTCTTGTCATATTGCCTTTTCTGTGACATCTTCCGAATTTTCCATCACAGCGACCTGGACTGGATGAAACCATTTCTGCGATTTTTGACGCGACGGGAAGCCGATGAATTAGGTGCGAAACTCCTACGTAAGTTCTTATCCCTTCTTGTTTTAATGTGGATCTTATGAACACCATTTTGGAGCCTATCCATCTGCTTTTGTGTGACTGCTGTGTTTTACATTTTCCGAAAGTTTTCAAATGATTCGATTATCTTACATCTGCGATGGAGTTTCGCGGCCGTTAACATTCGATGTTTATTCACTTGACCAATTTTGTGTGTAACGCGTGTGTGTGTGTGTGTGTGTGTGTATGTACGCATTTGATTCGCATTTGGCTGTGCCTCGGAAACTCGGTTTTCCAATCGACCAGGTGAACACTTGTCGTGAGACAGTTGACTGATGCCGAATCCTCAAATACGGACTCCCAGAACACGTTACCCACCTAATCCTTAGATCATTGTAATTAACTTTGCCGTCTTATCATTAATTTTCGCAACTCTCTTGCTCATTGTATACGTAACTTTAGCACCACATAAGGGCGTCCTATAGATCATGCCTGCATTTTCCTACTAGACATATCAGACAAACAGCCCGGCTTCCTGTTCACAGCGGGATTAGCGTCGGTACTGAGCGCGTGCGGCGACCCAATTTTTATTACTGACAAAGCGAGGCACTTTGTTATAGAGCCATGATCATATTAAGAAAACAAAGCTTGATAAAACATGTTTTCAAGCATACAACTTGCTTGCCGTAACAGTGAATGTTTGTGTAGTGTTGTGTATATTATTAAGTGTCGCCTGGGATACTAGTTGGTAATCAATGACACATAAGAGAAGTGTCCAGTACGGGACAGTATAGAAATTTGAGGCGACTAAACCCAACGTGTATTGTGCAGGCTACGAAAATAGAAAGCGAACCAACCAGAGCGAGGAACAGCACAGCAAGGTACTCACCAAAACACTTTGTGTCGACGGAAGTGCCATCAGTAAAACAAGTGAATGTTTTGAAGGTTAAACCAACGGTAAAATCCAGTGGTGCTAAATACTGAAAGTGTGTGTTTTCCGGTGCACTATCATATCTATGTAATTTTTTCGCTGTGTAGTTTATGCTTGTAAATGTGCCGCTACATTCGTGACTGTTTGATAGCATCGGCAGTGTGGGAATAGATGGTTGATGTATTTGAGTTGGATAGGATTCTCCGGAAATTCACAGGGTAGTGACTTTAGTTTGCGACGAATCACAACTGCCGCGTCGCAGCGTTGTTAGGCAGGTGCTTGTGGCTTTTTGTAGGGAGAACAACTGTAAGGCCAAAACCCACCACGTCCTGATACACTGCCGCCGCTGTAACGCGTTAAACCCGAAACACCCCCAGCTGGCACCACGCGGAGGTTTTGTTCGGCTAGCCAGCCCCATGTTGGCATTCATGTCACATGGTCCACTTGACTACAATTCTGGCCCCTTGGCCACCGCCTCACAAGTCCTGTGTAATATAACTTGTAACCCTCCTGAATGTGTCCTAGTTTCATTGAAAATTGTACGGAAAACGCTTCTGTTTGCTGTAGTAATCATTATTTTATGTTAAAAGGCTGCTCTACCTCACTGATTTATATTCCACAGTTTCTTAACATCTATATGATAATATATATCTCATCTACACACAGATGGTGTTATAGCTTTCCTGCTAATTATTATTTGCTTTTCTGCTCAACTTGTATACTTCTATGCTTGCCTTCTGTCACCATCAATGTCCTGTTGTCAACCACCTTCTTTTGTGAATCTTTGAGCTCATTTTCGGGTTGACATGTTGCTGTCGATGTCTATGAAATGCATCTGTGGATAGCTATGGGTTCACCGTCGGGGGCCACTACTCGCTGATGTCATTTTGAGTAAGTTTACTAACACCCGGTTAAACGAATGTATCAGCAACCTGGTTCACTACGGCCGGTACCTTGACGACATAGGTTGCATCGCGGATAGTCGGATATGCATTGAAAATCGATTGGCACAATGTGACACTATGTCAATTGGCTACCTTATCTATTACGTGCAACAGAGCGAATATGTGAAAACAGATAACTATTGTTTCTTCTTTAGTTCCCAAGTTCTCCAGACTTCCATTACTAACATTTTCTTCTGCGTTTCCAGAGTAATTGACGGCATCTGCAACACTGCGCGATTTCTGCCGTCTTTGGAGACACACTACTTAGCAGTAGCATCATATCACTGCTCTGTTTTTCTGGTAGCGCTCATTGTTCTTGACTTGAAACAGGTTGCTCAGCGTCTGCACCTGAGACGCTCACTAAACAATCTAGGTCTTGAGTACTTCGTAATCTTAAGCTAAAATCCGCAACTCACGTGGCGATCCAACAAACTTTGTCTACCCTTATACTCTCCCGATTGGTTTTATGCACGTGCTGATACTGACCGAGCAATCGCAAGTCAGGATTTAGGCGCAGTTCACTTCCAGCGCTGAATCTTTTCTGTTTGGTTAGCTTGTCATAAACGGTCCTCTGTGTTCAGCATTTTTTGACAGTTGACTCACAGGACGGCATTGCGTTTCATGCCCCAACCAGCTGTAGCCAATGCATTTCGCATTTTAGTAGAGCTAGCAGGCATTCTAATGCGTACTTCTAGCGCTTAAAACTGATTGCGAATCGAGTTATGGCGTCAAAGATTATACGCATTATAGTAGTGAGCACTCAGAAAGTGGTCTATGTTTAGCAGAAATGTGGCATAAACCCACTGTTCTAGTTCTGCGTGCTAACTGGTCGTTCAGATTCGTTCTCTAACCTTTCACATCCACGTAACAGATTGAGTGGCGACGTTTATCGAGCGTAGGGAGGGGTAGTGATGGGTGTGCGTACACCCTGGCCGGCAACCCGCTGAATCCCACCAGTTCCGTAAGGGATCTAGGTGTACTCTCACGCTGTGATCTGAAGTCTGAGACAACACGAACAGTCTGTACGTAAAAGGACTACGCCTCCTTTGGACATTTAGACACAGCTTTTACACTTGGTCTGAAGAGATTGTCACCCATCTTTTCTCTTCCATGATAAGACCGGTGCTTGAATACGGCTCTCCCGCCTGTTGTCCGATCACAATATGTGAGATGCAGAGACTGGAACGGGTCAAGCATGTAGCTACCCAGCTCATCCCCATTTTATGTGGTATGTCGTACGAGGACCGATGTTGGAGACTAAGGCTGTATACCCTGTCATATCGTCGGCTTCGAGTTGATCTCATATCGACCCACTGGATACTTCACCTAGGCCCACTTCCTTATGTTGAGGCCGCTGCTGCACGTTCGCGCATCAAGCAGCACACGCAGACACCGGTACAAATTAGCGCTACCGGATCTGAAACTTATCGCTCACTCTCTATGCTTCGAGCGTCGAGTGGTGAAATATTGGAACAAGTTGCCGGAGACGCTGGTCGAAGCGAAATCGGTGTCGGAATTTAAGAGATTCCTCCATGCCCACTTCGCGGACTACAGGTATAGGTAGCGTATCGCACCCGGACAACATGTAGTGCAGGTGCAATATGCTGCCACCGCGCAGCAATCAGCGCCGTGATTCCTCGCATGTGCACGGTCCACCTACGATGGAGCAACACACATTTTTTTTTTCTCGCTTTCTATTCTCAGTATTCAGTATGGTTGGTTTGGATGACTCATCTCTACCTTAATAGAAATAGAAATAAATTTCGCTACATTGTGCTCTTTTAACTTTTACGTACTTTCTCTTTGAGTTTACACCAGCGTTTTGATATAGAGATGAATACCGGTCCCTGCACCGGATGAAATTGGTTCCCAATGGACACCAGGTATCAAATCAGAAATTGTGGCAGCTCGTTCACTCTTCGCAGTACGTAGATACATCAGTGTCATAAAATATACAGCTGTCTGTGGATGCAGTTGTTTCTCATTATCAATTTATATTTTAAGGTGAACATTGTCTTCTTTTAAACCTGTACACTCTTTACAGCGAATAACCTCCATGTCATTTACCTTGACGTAAACGACAAGAGATGACTCGACTTTTAAGTGACTGGAGCTACGGTGGGTGCCTGATTGCACGCAAAAGCAGCTTCGCATTGATAACATGCATAAGGTCAGTCGTTGCTTCCAGTCTGGGAGGAGGTGCAGTTTATAACTTTTCGCAGCCCGAGATTTATGAGACAAGCGCTGTGAAATCTAGCAAAAGTGTAGACGGAATAATCCAGGAGGTCGACGACAGTTGAGGTAAACTGATTGGACAGCTGGGTGAAATGTAATTATTTGCCAACCAAATCGCTTACTAGACACTTGAACATCATGGCTTACATTTCAAAATTAAGCAGTTACTACGTGGCGTAAAAGATCGGAACATATCTTTTGTGGACTTGCACCACGAGAAATTGTTATAAATGAGAACACTCCCGCAACGGTTCCGGTATCTACATGGCTGGTCGACACAATTCCAAATGAATCCCTCAAACGCTACAACTGTGTCGTCCACATCCCCATGGCGCAAGTCTCTTGAGGCATGGTTACGCTTAGCTTCCAGTATTCACGACAACAGATTGTGCTCGTAATCACATCCATTTGGTTCAGAATTGATCGTATGTTTGAGCTAATGGATATACACATGCTCCGCATTTTTTCTGCTGAGCATCCCTCCACCCAGTACGATGTTTTCAGTGGAATTGCTGTTTCTTGTAGTTCCGCTTCTTTTGTTTTCCTGAAGTTTGATAGTGGAAGACCGTAGCGTTCAGTGGTCTAGATACATATAGGGATTTTAAAATATCGCAAGTGTAAGTTCTCATGGTCTTCATTATTGTGTGGACATGTGTAAACGACAAAAAATGCAGAAAACGCACGCGTACGGAATTCCGCTGATAGAACAGAATAGCACAACCAAGTTTTGAGGACTCCACCCCTTGATACCATCGTTACGGTTCCGGTCGACACGACAACAAATGAATCCCTCAATCGCTACAACTATGTCGTCCATGTTCTCTTGAAACATTGGTCATAATACACATTTTTCTGTTTGTCTCTTTATCTAACTATCAATAAGAGTGGCCAAATTGGTTGACTAACAGCTGTTTGTACATTTCACGATTTCCTGACAGGTGAGTTGCATGGTGCTCCATCTTTACTAAGAAGTCCCATCAGCTCGACTATATGAAGCGTTTCAAAAATTTTCGTCGCACTGAGAGCTTCTTACTTTCCGTTATTTCTTAGGTGAACTTCAACTTCGTTCTGAGCTGGAACAGTTATATGAGTATCGAAAACGGGGTGTTCGCCAAATGAGCGGTATGTTACATTCCTCATTTCCATAGTCTTTATTCTTTGCTCACTTGTCTCTGCGTTTTCAACTTCATTCGGTTCTGTTATGTGACCTTTTTATTAACCGCACTTCTCACCGCTGCAACACCCAAAAGCGACACTATTCATTTCACAAAGGACAACGTCCGTGATGATTTGATTAACTTATATGTTATGCGAAACTCACTTTCTGCCGTCGTTCATTCGTTTTCAGATATTCATTTGCGTTCTATGGTTCCTTTGGTGGCAGAACCGTTGGTTGCGACGAGTGGAGGCGCTGTACGATCCAGGCGACCGGCATTCTTTAAAAGCGGATCTCATACCCGTACAATGTATTCTACTTTTGGACGAATTAAGAAAATCCGGACCGCTGCTCGGCGACGTGCAGTCAAAGGGGGTCACTTAAGGAGGCGATTGTAAGACGAGGTCTGGCAACATCTTGGTCTGCTGATTGGTCCATGGCCGCAGCACTGAGTTCGGTGAAGCACAGTCATCGGCGCACTTATGATGCGATTACGAAACTATGGAAACGGTTTTCAACAATCGCTCCATCAACCGATGTTCCTTTCATTTATGGCGTGTTCTTGTTCAATGCTGCTCTGTATTCCACATGTTTCGTAGCCCAGCTATGCTGTGTTAACGAGTGTCTTTCTCCTGACTCATTTCAGGGTCAGATCTTTAGGTAAAAGCGGACAATCTGCCACACGGCGCACACTCAACACTGTCAGTTCGCTGTTCTTGGTATTTGATGGCTGTGTTTACATTCCTTCCAGTTTATCCGTTGTGTTGATGCATTTTCTTCCTGTATCCGTTTTCCATGCATTAACACCATCGTTCCCTTTGCACCTGATTGATGACATCTGTTTATCAACTCGGCTTGTTTACCTTCTTCAAATTAGCTGAATTTTCATTTATCGAGATAATTGCGCTTGCTCTTAGGTAGATTGTTTTCGCCCGTTTCATCTTTTTCAACCAGTACTCAGGGAGGGCTTCTAGCTGCGCTAGGAGCACTTGCACTGTGTTATTCCTGTTGCGATTTGCAAAGTAAATCCTGTGCACAATCTATCTACTCTTTTTGTCTGTGGACCCCAGCTGATGCCTCTGGTAGTTCGCATGAGGATCAGCCGGTTACTAAATTTGTAACAGACGTAATCACTTATGACATAGCCCAACTATTAATTGTGTTCTACTCAATCGCACACATTCATTTGCCGACACAATCTGCAAGGTCATAGTGGATCGATTGCTGGCTGATCGGAACGTTTCATCTTACCACTTTGGATGCGTTCTTTAAGTTAGAAACAAACAACTCCCGGTGCACTCAGCACCACTGTTCACGTCCTCAAATGTTGAGTCACATGTGTTGTGACGCAACCCTAGCTATACTCGATTCTCCGTCCAACCCAATTGGAGTGTTATAGAAGACAGACCTTGCCAGACCGGTGTATATTGAAAACAGATTGGTTATATTTATGTTACATACACATCATTTCCTGTGCGTTGCTTGTTTAGTTGACGATCGCCTGTCTGCTCACGTCCGCACGTATTCGCGATCCACCATTTGGCTGCTTGCAATCCCCACCAATCGCGGCTCTGCTCACGGCTGCGACATAGCAACCCGTGCCATCCGTGAGGAATGGATTTCGTCAGTTTCCCGTATGACCCGCCGTAAGCCTGCTTAGCTTGTTGAAACCGTGCCTCGGTCTCCACCCGTTGCGGTCACCTAGCAACATGACGTATGGGCTACACGTTCAATTTCGTCTTAGATTCTATCATGGAGTCTTCCATTGCAGAATCTCACGATGTAGGCGTTGAAGTGCTGCCTGGTGAACGATCAGTTGATCTTGATTATGCGACTGATATCGTCTTGCTTTCCGACAATGTTGCGGTGGCACAATCAACCCTCAACAGCCTGTCTAGAGTGGTCCCATTATTTGGTATGCACTTCGCACCTTCAAAGGGCAAAGTGTTTCTGCAGCACCACCAGCCACTTGATGACCCCTAGACTCTTGCTAACGAGGAGCTTGTGGTGTTTAATCAATTCACTTATTTTGGCAGCTTCATCAGCAACAATGGGCGCATAGAAACTGACGTCATCTCACGCATTGGAAAGGCCAGAGCTGTCTTCTTGAACCTGCGGCATCTTTGGCGACAGAAGGGAATTTCTCTCCGTCTGAAAGGCCGTGTATACAAGACCACAGTGAGGGCCGTACTCCTCTATGGTAGTGAGACTTGGCCCTTTCGTCTGAAGAGCTGAGGCGCCTTCAAGTCTTTGATCATCATTGTCTGCGAAGCATTGCTGGAGTCGGATGGCACCAGCGTGTCCGCAACAGTGATGTGCGTAGGCGAGTACTAGGAAGTGATAATCATGCTAGCTCTCTAGAACAACAGTTAGCACTGAATAAGTTGCGTTGGCTCGGGCACGTGCTACGTATGCCTGGTCACCGCTTACCTAGGAGGGCCTTGTTTAGTCTACCAGGTGTAGGCTGGCGCAAGGTTTGAGGTGAACAGAAGTTGACTTGGCAGCGGGAAATGAAGTCGCTGACGACCAAACTGGGTGTCGTTGGTCCATCTCTCCTTCCGTTCTGGGGTCCACCTGACTCGCCTTGTGCTTGGCTCGAGACTTGACAGGACATGGCTCGCAGTAGACACCAGTGGCGCGTGTGCTGCCGTCTCTTAATCGGAGTACCTGTTTAAAGTGTGTTTGGTGCTGAGTTATCTGCGGGGTAATGGCTGGTTATGACACGGGGCAGTGAAAGCCGCAAGGAAGCTGTCTCGCCGATGCCGCCTTATGTTTGCACGATAGCCAGCTGTTTGTGAGGGTATGTTGTTAACACAAGGTGTAGGCGCCTTGACCCTGAATGTTTGC